CAATCACAGAGCGGGTATTCCACAAACAGTAACATTTCTTTTATGTATTGTGTAAATAATAGCAGCCATGTCCATTCCCAGCGCTGCCGATTTCTGACTGTGGGGCTTTGAACAAATTGCTTGTTTGTTCGTCAGTTTCCTCCCCTGACCTGTGAGAGAAAGATTGTGGTTAATCCATTTTACTCAATAAATCATTATTGAGCAGCATAGTCTGTGCCGGATACAACTCAATCTGTCATTTACTGTTCGTTAAAAGATGTGGCACGGGGCCTGGCATATACTAGGTTGTCAATAAATGTCAATCTTTTTTTTTACATAAGTCCCAGCTGTGGCCTGGAAGCTGGTGGGCGTTGGGGGAAGAGGTCGGAACAGAGAAAGCAATTCAGGAGGGGGAGGGCTGGAGACTGGGCCGTCTCCCTCCTTGTTGACTTGGCTTCTTTTGCTTTCTTTTTCTTTTCTTTTTTTTTTGAGTCAGAGTCTTACTCTGTCGTAGAGGCTGCAGTGCAGTGGCATGCTCATGGCCACCACAGCCTCAAACTGCTGGGCTCAGGTGATCTTTTCACTTCGGCTTTCCAAGTAGGTGGAACTACAGGTCCATACCACCACGGCTGGCTAATTTTTTGATTTATTGTAGAGACGAGGTCTCGCCAGGTTGCCCAGGCTGGTCTCCAACTCAGGCAATCCTCTCGCCTCCGCCTCCCAAAGTGCTGGGATGACAGGTGTGAGCCACTGCGCCTGGCTGACCTCCTTTGGTTTCTAAGGACAGGCCTGGTGCTGGGGTCTGGCGAGTTGGCCTTTTCTGGTCCTTGGGCCCTCTAGGCTAGAGACATGGTAGTGTGCACGCCCTATTAACACGATGTCAGGCTGAAAACTTACACTCCACACCCCTCAGGACAATGAGCTTCCCTCCCACTTCTGGTCCCCAGGCTAGACCCAGCGCCATCTCTGCAGAAACCCCACTCCCTAGCCACATCAGGCCGGACCTTCAGAGAGGGGTTGTGTGTGTGAAAGCAACAGGAGACCTGGCACGGGGTAGGTCTGCAAAAAAAAGCTGATTGAATGAATGCACCATGGACGTCCTCTCAGCAAATGGGCTCGGTTATTCATTCAACAAGCATTTATGAAACCCATAATCCATTTGGTGCCAGACTCTGAGTCGAGGGTTGTGACACTCAGGTTAACGGTTGTCGAGTTCACCAAAGACTGAGCCATGTTCACAGATTTCCTTCTCCCAACACTCCCTCACCCCTGCACGACCTCAAGGCCCACCTGGCTCTCAGACCACTTAGCCTCACCCCCACCCCCAGAGACCAGCACACGGACTCCACCACGTGTTTTGACTGAAGTGGATGTTTTGAGTGCTAAGTCACTGAGTTTGGGGTTGAATCCTGATTCCATAACCCATCCTGTGTGTTCTTGGGCAAGTTACCTTACTTCTCAGTTTCCTCATCAGGAAATGATTCAGACATAAGGAAAATTGCTTACCTTGCATTTGCTGTGAAGAGTAAGGAGATAAGGTGTACATGTAGAGCAGTGCCCGGTGCGTTGTTTGTGCTCAGTGAATGCGAGTTCTTTATGCTTTTAATTCTTTTTAATGAATTATTTTATTTTTACAGAGATGAAGTCTTGCTATATTGTCCAGCTGGTCTCGAACTCCTGGGCTCAAGTGATTCTCCCACCTCAGCTTCCCAAAGTGCTGGGATGACAGGCGTGAGCCACCATGCCTGGCCGAGTTATTTATTATGGTATGATTCCTCTCTGTCACAAGGGTCTAGCTCCCTCTTGCCCTTTCCACAGCAATGTAAGAACAAGCCTGTGCACACAGTAGGCGTAGGACTCCTGGAAGAAAGGAGATCTGGGTGAGGGAACCCAGAAACCAGCAAAGGTTTGGAGGCAGGGAAGGGCAGCAGGGCTGTGCCTGGAAGGTCTGGAGGAAGGTCCCCAGAGATGGCTGTGTCTTTCCCAGGGACGGGGAGCTCACTACCTAAAATTAGCCCAATAACTCTGATAGTCAGAACTCTCTTCCCGTCCCCCTCACTCCAGGTGGCCATATTCTGTGTTTCAAGTCACAAGGCGCTTTGGGGATCCCACCTCACTGTCAGTGAGGCCCAGATTGGATGTGGTGACATTAGGAAGGCATCCAAGTAGGTTTTGGGCCATCCCCAAAGTGAACCTATATCCATTTCAAAACCCACTTCTAGCCGGGTACGGTGGCTCACACCTGTAATCCCAGCACTTTGGGAGGCTGAGGTTGGAGGATTGCTTGTCTCTATAAAAAAGAAAAAGAAAAAAAGAAAACTCTCTTCCCCTCTTCCAGGATATACCCCTGCCACGGCCCAGGTAGCCAGGTGGGGTGGCAGGTCGTAATTGTTAGCAATGACCACACAGTCACACAGAGTCAGGGCAGGGTGGGGAATCTCCCAGGAGAGGACAATCCCCTCTCTCAGCAGGCCCTGGCACTGACCCTCAGTTTTCTTCTCTGTGAAATGGGACCGACTCTGTAGGTTTCTTTGCCCTGACTTGTAAAAATGAGAAACTCTTAGTCTAAACACGATCTTGCCTTGAGAGATAAAAAGATAGTCTCAGAGGGAAAACCAGGTGTCCCTCCTTAGAACCAGGGGCCCATTCCTGGGCAGAGACCACCCTCTCCTTGCTGTCAGGGACCTTGCAGGCGGAACCCAGCTGGCCCCTCCCCCAGGGAGCCTCTGGCACTCACTCTCTAAGCCAGAAACCCATCAGATCAGCAGCACCACACGCCTGAGGGTCTCCTGGGGCTGAAGTGCTCAGACCCCGGAGCTCTCAGGCCTGAGCTGGGTGGAGCCCGCCATGACGACCTGTCCCCAGATTTCCACATCAGGGCTGCCCCCGGACCAACTCTTCAGGGCTCTGATCTGGGCTCAAGGGGCAATCCTCGTGCTGCAGAGAACCCAGGCAGCCACCTCCTCCTCATGGTGTCCCCCTCATCCACCCCAGACCAGCCAGCACAATCTTGCTGCCAACCTGTGGCTGGGCCCCTCCTCAGGCCCAAGAATGGGTGCTGCCAGGCTGTAAGCCCCACTGCCGACACTCTGGTGGGCTGTAAATCTGCCTTAGTGAAAGGTGCAGCAGGGAGACCCCCATGCAGTGATGTCCTTGCTGTGTCCCTGGCACCACCTCCCTGCGGGGAGGTAAACCAAGCTGTGCCATCAGCTGGGTGTGGTGGTGCACACCTTTAGTCCCAGCTACTTGGGAGGCTGAGGCAGAAGGAGATTCCGAGCCCAGGATTTTGAGGCGGAGGTGGACTGAGATCATACCACTGTCCTCCAGCCTGGGTGACAGAGTGAGACCCCCAACTCAAAAAAAAAAATCTTTGTCCAGGCATGGTGGCTCATGTCTGTAATTCCAGCCTATTGAGAGGTTGATGCAGAAGGATTGCTTGAGCCCAGGAGTTCAAGACCAGCCTGGGCAACATAGCAAGACGTCATCTCTACAAACAACAGCAACAACAAACAAAAACAAAAAATCCCCCCCAAAACCAAAAAGCTGCGTCCATCTCCTGACCTCGAGCTGCTGCGAGAGAATGAGGTGGTGTTTGCCACCCTGGGACGGGATGGTCCCCGGCTGGATCAGAGTGGCATCTTTCCCATCCTACTTCGGCCCCCTCTGCCTTGGAAGACCCTGGAAATCCAGGTTGGGCCATCCTGACCACTGTGAACTTCCAGGGCCCTAGGTTTCTCAAGTACTCTTGTGTTCACCTTCTCGCGGGAGCCCCACAGCGGGTGGCGAGGCAGGTGAAGACTATCAACCCATTTTATAGATGAGGTAAATGGGCTCAGAGAGGCACATGGTCCTGCCCAAGGTCACACAGCAGTTAAAGCAGAGCCAGACATAGTCTGGAAGCCACTTGCTCATAGCAGGCAGCATGGCATAGGCTTGTGACTTTGGGCCAGTCACTTAACCACTCTGAACCTCAGTCTTCTTGCTTGAAAAACGGGAATAATAACAGTTCCTGTCTTGATGGGTAATTGTGAAGATTACACGAGATGATGCGATGAAGTATATTCCGCTCAGTGGCAGCATAGGGACCTAACCCCGACTACCCAGGGACAGTCAGATGCTGGCCCGGTGCCGGCCATGATCCACATGTAGCTCTGGTGCCCCTAGGCTCTTACCTCATCTCTCTTCAAGACCCACGATGGTGGGCTCAGGACCGGGTGGGAAGACGCGGGGGCAGGGTGGGGCCAGGGACTCTCCTGAGGCGGGCCGCCTGGTGAAGGTGGCCGGGAGCCTGTCCACAGCCCTGCTCACAGCCCAATGGTGGTGGCTACCTGCTTTGCTACCCAGACCTCTGGTCTGCTGGGGGTCACATGGGGGCTGGCTGAGGCATGGCCTGGAGGCTTTGGTCGTGGTCTGGGAGTCAGGCTGAGAACAGAAGCCGGAAGGCCTGGGGATGGAGGTGTCCAGGCTCTCCAAACAGATTCCTGCTTAGCCCAGCCTGACCCCAGGGCTCTGCGGACATCTGGTATGGGGGTTCCCCGTGAGAGCAGCTGGCCTTCTTCAGGTCCTAGGCAACCCCAGGATGGAAGGAGGGGAGCGGGGCTGTGTATTTCCAGGTCAATTTTCCTGCAGGAAGGAGAGAAACAGCCTGCCTTGGCCCATAGCATGGCAGGTGTAGGTGACTCAGGGCCTGGCCTGAGGGATGCCACCCCCGGGCCCTGAGCCCCACGAGCTCCAAATCACCTGATTGTGAGTCCTGGCCTCAGACGCTGCTCTCTGTAGAGGCTGCCTCCTGCAGAGAAGTCCCCTCCAAGCTATGACCCAGGCTACAGCCAGACTCCGCTACAGTGTTCAGGGGCTGGATCAGCCTCCCTTCTCATTGACAGACATCCCCTATGAGAGCCCAGCCATGAGAAGGATGGGAGGGTGGTCCTGGCCACATCCCCAGGGATGAGGAGGCCAGGGGACACCTCTGTGACTAAGATGAGCTCCATGACAGCTTTGGAGCCTGTGGGGCTGGATCCTTAGCATTTTTGAATTTTATTATGACTGCATTTGTTTAAATATATATATATATATATTTATAGCTCTATGTGCCCACTGTCCCCAGCCCCTCCCCAGCCCCTAGTTCTTCCCCCTGGCCTTCTGTCTGGTGGCCGTGTAGGGCAGCACCGTCTGCGTACTCTTGTCTGACACCGTCTGGGTGCTGCTGTTCCTTGTGACCCTTCGGGTCTGTTCCAGGGCCAAGGTGGGGCCTGAGCGGCGGCCAGTTAGTGGAGAGCGTCTTGGCTTGTAGGGGGCTGAGGAGGGCTTGTGGGGACCCGCATGGGCCTCCGGGTGGGTGGACTCAGGGGTCAGGCCTGCCTCCTCCTCCTCTGCCTCCTCCTGGCCGTCCCCCTCCTCGTCGTCACAGCACAGGGCGTGGTAGAGCACTTTGTCACTGAACCGCACCCTCTCCCGTGTCCCTGGGGTCCGCTGGGGCAGCTGGCTCTTGGCTGCGGGGCCAGCGCCAAAGGCCTCCTCGCTGGAGGAGTCTGGGGTCTCCACGCGGGGCCCATTGGGGATGGGTGTGCCACCATTCATGAGCCGGTAGTCAGGGCCAGCCCCTGACCGTGTCGACTCGGGACCGTCCACGGAGTCCGAGGGGGTGGAGACGTCCAGGAAGGAGCAGAACTCCCAGCTGTCCGAGAGGATGTCGGCTGTCATGAAGTCCAGGTGGCCCAGGTCGAAGGGGCCACCCATACCTGCCTTGTCACTGCTCGAGGTGCTGCTCACAGTGGCCGTGGTCCAGTCATCCGGCTCCAGTTCGAAGTCAAAGTCTGAGGTTAGCTTATCGATCTGGCTCACCACCTGGCCAGGGAAGGGGACAGGAGCTGAGAGGGGCCAGCGGGGCCAGGCATCACCTGTGGGGGTGAATGTGCCTCTGCCCTGCCCCGCTCTGGTGGACCCCTGGCCTGGAGGTCACAGGTGTGTCTGCCTAGTGGCCAGCCCCCAGGGACCAGGGTGGACAGAGCTTGTCTGGCCCTTCCCAAAGGCCTGCTCACCACTCTCCCGTCTCCTGAGGGTGGGAGGTTGCTTTCCAGCCCCGCACCCCATCCATTTATACACGCTGCTCTCTCAAACACAGTCACAGTTCTGGGGAGCAGCCCTAGCAATCAGGGCGTGATCTGCCTTTAATTGAGAGGGGGCCGTTTAAGAGGGGCTGAGGGACTCCATAACCCATTCCATGGAGAGGGGAGTAACCCTTCCCCCCAGAGAAGAAATGGCATGGGGTGACCATGAGGACGACTGCCCAGACTTTCTAAAGCATCCTGGCCCAGTCCCTGCAGCCAGCCAGTGAGCATCACTCACAGGTCTCCACCTGCCCTTTGGGACAAGAAGCCCACGTGTAAGGCCTAGCTGAGTCACCCCCCTCTTACCCTCCTTCCTCCTTCCCTTCTCCCACCCACTGCTGAGCAGAGATCAATCCTGGCTTGTTGGAGAACTAAAGTGAGCATGAGTTGATAAGCAATAAAGATGCCATCTATCCCAGGCCCGGAGCTGCGTGCTCCACGCTTCAGGGCGCAGCTCAGCCATGGAGGTTGCCGCCCGCTGCTCTGCTCCACGTACAGGGAAGCCCTCAGCCTTTAAACGGGAGGCCCTGCCTCGGGACACCCCTTGCCTGGGTGGCCACCGTCGACACGTAAACCACGGAGGAAGACGATGGGGGAGAAGGGGATCCAGCCAGAGACATGGAGAGGGCAGAGCAAGGGAAGGGAGAGAGATTATAGCCAAAAACAAAACCAGGAGAGCAAAGCGGATGCGGCGGAAGTCAGGGCAACAGAGACGCAGAGACACACAGTGCATCATCAGGGCCAGGGCCAGTCCCCAGCGCACCCCTCTCCCGCCCCAGCGTTCTCTACCTGGGGTCTGAGCAGGCAACTCATAAATGAACTAATGAAGTTCTTAATTCAAGGAGCATTTACTGAGGCCTACTGCTGTCCAGGGATGTGCCGGAGGCTTGGCGGGGAGTGGAGGTGGTGAGTGCCCCGAAGCAAAGAGGAAACAAGAGCAGGAGTGATAGCCGGGGTGGCTGGGTCCGTGGGAAGGCCACTTGGCCAGGAGGCGGGGGCTGGACAAAGGTGGCCTGGGCAGCCATTATCCCTCTCGGGGTGGCTCCATCTGTGAGCAGAGAGGCTGATGACCTGGTCTACCTCCGAGGTTCCATCCACCTCTGAGAGCCTAGGATGCTGTTTACAGGAGTGACTTCAAGAAGCTGCTTTGGGTGATGATGCTGAGGATGTCCCACCAACATGGTCCCAGGCCAGTAATGGAGGAACCTCTTGGCTGAGGCCTACGGAAAACCTGGGCCATCAGGACACCTGGGATCCAGGCCTAGCTTAGACATTGCTGTGTGTCTCTGGGCAAGTCACAGGACATCTCTGGACCTCAACATCGTTCGCGGGTATGGCAATCCCAGCCCTATTGCCCTCCCCAGGACTTCACAAGGAACCGCAAGGAAGGCAGAGAAAGGGCTCTCTGGGGCACTGGGGACATGAGTGGCATCTCTGAGCACCTACTATGAGCCAGGCCTATCACCCAGGAAATCATGACCTCTTGAGTCGACAGAGGAGGAGGCTGAGGCACTAGCCCCCCAAGAGGCTGACCTCCCCACCTCTGCAGCCCCTGTGAAGTGCTGCCATGGCCAATGGACTTGGGACAGGGCCCCACACTCCGAGCTGACTCCCCCTTCCTGGGCTCCCCCAGGATGTCCCGCTCTAGTGCAGAGACGCTCCCATCCCCCAGAAGCCCTGGCTCAACCATGCTCCCCAGGAGGGCTGGCTGGCGGGAGCGAGTGGGCCTCCACTTACTCTCCAGTTTCTGACTCTGCGGGTCTGGGTGAGGCTGGAGAGGCGCCATCTAACACGCTCCCGCTGGTCCAGGGACGGACGGTGAAAACCACGAACCCAGAGCCCTGGAGACTGAAGCCAGGGAAGACACAGCAACTCAAGCCCCTGCCACCTGGCTGCACCCTCGAGGGAGCCTCCCTGGAAGAGGCCAGAGCTGTAGAGAGTCTGCAGCTGCCAGAGGGTGGGGGGGATGCCTGCAGGAATCTGGTGCTGGATGGCTGGGCTATGATCTCACAGGGTCAGCTGAGGCCAGGCCAGCCGAGGGAGCTCAAGGCCCATCACGCCTCAGGCCCAAAGCAGGGAAGTTCCAGGGTGCACAGAGCCAGAGCCCAGAGCCTTCAGGCCTGGACTCACCCGCCAAGAAGCCCCTGCTGGCCCCCTGCCCAAGGGCTTTGCCATTCCGGCTCTTCCTCTTCTTCATCAGTACGCCCCTCTCTGGTTCTACCCTGGACATATGGAGGGAAGGGAGAAGGGGAGGCCAGCGTTCGAGTCCCAAGTCTGCCACTTCTTGGCTGAGATACACTAGGCAGACTAGTACCCCTCGCCAAGTCTCAGTTTCTTGCCCTGTAAAATAAAATGACACTCCCCTCCTGGGCTCAAGTCAGAGTGAAGAAAACCTAATAGATATGAATGTGCCTTAAACTGCACAGTCGCGCAGGCATGGTGGCTCACACTTGTAATCCCAGCACTTTGAGAAGCTGAGGCAGGAGGATCACTTGAGCCTAGGAGTTCGAGACCAGTCTGGGCAACATATGGAGCCCTCGTTTCTATTAAAAACAAAAAAATAGTTGGGTGTGGTGGTGTGCGCATGTAGTCCCAGCTGCTTGGGAGGCTGAGGTGGAAGGATCACCTGAGCCCAGGAGTTCAAGGCTGTGGTAGCCAGGACCATAGCTCACTTTAGACTGGGTGACAGAGTGAGATCCCTACTCAAAATAAATAGATAAACAAACAAACAAACAAACAAACTGCACAGTCAGGACAGCCAAACACTTAAGAACCTGGGCTCTGGCGCCGGATCTGGGATCTGACCCTGGCTTCACTACTTACCAGCCGTGTGTCCTTGGCCAAGTGACTCAACTTCTCTGTGCCTAAGCTTCTTCATTAGAGGAGAATTCTAGTAACACTTACTTGACAGGGCTGTTGTGAGGATTTGATGGCTTAATGCACTTTGGAAAGCCTGTAGAACAAGGCAGACCGCTGACACCCACTGGCACCCATGGGTGCTAGCAGGTAGCCACGTCACAACACCAGGCCCAAGAGCCAATGGGAATCAGTTCCAGTACCTGGGGCAGAATAATGGGCTATCTTAGACCTTTCGAAACCCAGTACACACAGCCTGGACAAGAAAGTGAGAACTGTACAAAAAAATAATAATAAAAAATTAGCCGGGCGTGGTGTTGCGTGCCTGTAGTCCCAGCTACTCAGGAGGCAGAGGTGGAAGGTCACCTGAGCCTAGGAGGTTGAGACTGCGGTAAGCCACTGCACTCCAGCCTGGGCGACAGAGTGGGATCCACAGGTAATACCTATTTCACCTAAAGTTAGGGGTGCCTCGAGACAGAATCCAACCAGAAGAGGTTCTAAAAGTCAGTGGCTATGAGGCTCCCAGGCAAACGTGGCCCCGTTTATTAGGTGGGACAGGTTCCACTGCTTGAATGGCGTAGGTGAGGGTCAGAAAGGAAAGCCATGTGCCCAGGGCACCCACCTCCCATGAAGGCTTAGGTCTGTCTGCAGACCCGGTCACGGCCCTTCCCTGGGGCCTTGCTTCCTGGGGCCAGTGGGGAGGGCAGGTGGGGTGCAGGCCTGGTGCTGCCGGTCTCTCCGCTTTGCATGTCTTGAAATCTGTGATTTCTCCCTGAGATCTAATAATCATTTTGCCTACATGTAATTTGGGATTGTCGTGGAGCGCACGGAAGTAATTATATACACAGAAGGAAAGAGAGGAGGAGAGAGGATGGAGAGAGAAATAGTGCCGTAAAATCACAGAATCACGCACCTTCCGAGCCCAGAGGGACTGCGAGGCTGCTGGCCCCGTCTCGATGCCCACGCGGGCAGGAAGGTGAAGTTCCAAGGCCAGAGGGGGCTGAGTGACCAGAAGTCTAGTCCTGACTCCTGGGTCTGGCACCTTAGGACCAAGAGCGGCCTGTGCTGGAGGGACCCAGAGGGAGCACTGGCTAGGAGGAGCAGGGCTGAGGGCTTTGTCAGAACCTGCAGGCCCTGTCCTAGGAGTGTCCCCAACCTCTGTCGAGTCACAGCCTTGGCCTCCCTCGCCGAAAACCTGTGTCCATCAAGTCCTCCCACTGACCACAACTTCCTCTCCAGCTCCATCTTTGAGCTGTGGCCAGGGAACTTTCTACGTAGCCCACAGGACCACGCGCCCCTCTGCCCTTTCATGTTCCCCAAACTCCCAAGCCTCCTAAACACAACTCCCTACCACCCTCCTTTCCTCTCCAGCAAGCAGCCTCCGCCCTGCAAGACTGCCTCCTCACCACCCCTACACACTTCACAGAGCTCCCGGCTGCCTCTGGGCCTCACCTGACACGCCCTCCCTCCTTTCCTACTCACTTCTGGCATCACTTTTAGAAGGATGCCTTCCCAGGTCCTCAACTGACATCAGGTTCCCTATGAAATTCTCCCAGAGCACCCTGTGCCTCTCTTTAAAATATTATTTATTTTTGAGTCGGGGTCTCACTATGTCAGCCAGCCTGGAGTGCAGTGGTATGATCACGGCTCACTGCAATCTCTACCTCCTGGGCTCAGGCGATCCTTTTGCCTCAGCCTTCCAAGTAGCTTGAACTACAGGCATGTGCCACCACGCCCCAGCTAATTTTTTTTTTTTTTTTGTAAAGATGTGGTCTCACTATGATGTTTAGGCTGGTCTCGAACCTCTGGGCTTAAGCAGTCTTCCTGCCTCGGCCTCCCAAAGTGCTGGGATTACAGGCATGAGCCACCACACCTGGCATT